GGATTTTATTATCGGGGTAGTCTTGGCTTTTACAACATGATATGGGATTTTCATGGATTATTATTATTATTATTAAAGTATATGGATATGGGGTTTTGGACTATGGTGATTTTGGATTTGGTGATATGTGATTTGTTTATGAAATTTAAACATGAGATTTTGGTTTATATGGTTTTGGAATTTTAAATATGGTCTATTGGATTTTATTATCGTTCTCTTATGGGATTCTTAGAGGATGTTATATTAACTACGTATATGAATATAGTATTTTGGATATTATCGAAATCGAATTGGTTTATTTTAGTTTTGGTGTTTTTCTTGATTATGATTTTTTATGGTTTTCATAAAGGAATTATGGGTGTTATTTTATTATATATATTATGTTATTTCGAAATGTATTTATGGAAATTGCAATTATGGATTGCACAATTACATGTACCTCCCCTTGGATACGATGGATACTTAGATACATTCAACACGCGGTGACTCTTCAGAGGTGTGTCGAGATCCAGGCACCCTTGACTGGGTGTACCGTAGAGCCCTTGACAGTGCTGTCTACGCATCTAAAACTTATTTCAGTTGCACGTGTATTGAGGATTCTGTCATGCGTGTCTGGGGAGCAATAGTCCCACGGTTGGACTACTCGTCCCTAGTCACATGAGTATGAAGGATTCTGCCATGTGGTCTATTCAAACAATCCTCGTGTTAGATTGTTTTTCCCTAGTACAAGATGATGGTGTGGTGAATGTGTGTGTGTGTGTGTGTGTGTGTGTGTATATGGATATATGTGTGGATTTATTTCCAGGTTAAGGTTTTTTAAGCATGTGCATTAAGAGTACTCTGCACAGGTATGAACATTTGAAATGAATTTCGGAATTGAGATGGGATATTTGGAAATTACTTGGCATATTGAATTTTTGCAAGGGTATAGTTGTGGGAAAAAGGATTTTGGTGGTGTTGAATATACGATTTTACAATAAGGATTAAATTAACAAGTTTACATTATTTTCCAAGAATTTGAGAAGTATTAATTAAATGGGTTTCCTTATTGTATGTCATGATATGAAATTTTATTGAACTAAAAGATTTTCTAGTATTGGATGATATTTCTGTACGTTTACCGAAGAAGTCTATTGCATGGTGTTTTGGGCATTATTTTCTAAAATGGAGGGGGTTATTTATGTTAAATCTAAATTATGTTTAACGCTTTGTTTTCGTCCACTCATATTTTTTATTTGTGCCCCCTAGGTTCTAGGCATCCGAGGTCGAGACCACCACGTTGAGGCATCATCGTTGTCCGCTTGTAGGAGTGTTCTACTATCACTCTCACCTTTTATTTTTCCCGAGTTGCAAACTAAATCTTTAGTTGCTCTTAGTTGCTCGTTTTTAAGTTCAAGTAGAGAGCATGAGGCTCATTTAAATAGTCTTAATTGTTGTGCATGCCTTTACCTTGTGCATGCTAGAAGTTGGGTTTGTTTTGGCGCTTGTTTGCATGTACTGTAAATTGGGAAATGTTTCAGTTACAAGGGAGACTCTACCAAAATTTTGGTAGGAGTTGAATTGTTTATCAGTTTAAATTAGGGCTAAAAGGCTTTTTAATAAAGTGGGTCCAACATCGGCCAGATGTTGGACGGGCAATAGGGTTCGTCACGGATTCCAAGGAAGAGTTCAGGTGGGTCCTATCATGATGCACACCAAGAAGATGGTATGGTAGCACAAAATAGAGAGGCATTGAGAAATCATATAGCCGCTAGTTTAATGAGTTCATCTACTTAGAAATTGTATATGATTCCTTGTTTATGACTGACTTGATTTTTGTTAAGACCATATTATTGACACTATATTTTTGTTATGATACTTTATTTATTTTGGGTTTAAAATAATTTTTAGGGTGTTGGAAACATATTTAACACAAAAAAATATGTAAGAGAAAGTGAAAGTAATTTTTTTTTTTACCAAACACTTGAATAGAAAAATGGGTGGCCCGGCTCGACTCGATGGATGGGCTCCAATCAATCCCTTTCAAGCCTCAGCCCGACTTAAAAATTTAGGGCCAACCTGAACTGTTGAAAACCCTAAAATTAATAATTTTATGTAGTCTACGTTTGAAACCCCAATATATTTCGGAATTCGGAATTTTTCGGAATCTCAAGATAAATTCCAATTTCAATCCAACTTTTTTCAAAATTTTAGGATTTTGGAACTTTCGAATGTTGTAATTATTTGGACTTGTCAAAATTGGAAATTTTCGTATCGAAATCGAATTTATTGATCCAACTTGCACACTTAGTAAAAGCATTTTCACCCATTCCTTTCTGCCAAAAGAGGGCCTAGGCTTTAAAAATCAACCCCCACAAAGGAAAAGTTGCCATGACAAGAAGTGGGCCAACCAAACTTGGCAAGCCCGAAGGCAAGACTTGCCTGGCCTACTGCTGAGCAAGTGTGACATCATGTTGACGTTGGCGACCAATTTAAATACAAAAAAAATTAATTAATTTTTTCTATAAATACCTAGTCATATTCTTCACTTCCCACACCAAAATTCATACAAATCCCTCTCCTTATATCTCATGTAAATAGTGGTTGCCCTTAGGTTGCCATGACAATGGGTGGGAATGCATCAAAAAATTGCTAGGGCAGTCACTATTTATGTGAATAGTATTTGCCCTTACTTGCCCTTTGTCATGGCACAATGGGGTGGAAGTGCTCTAAGCGCATTTCCAAAGCACAGTCCCAGCCTTGGCAAGAGGGGGCCTCGGCCCATGAGGGGGCTTCCAACGTGCAAATGCAGCTTGGGCAAGACTTGGGCTCCACCAACCCGCGCAAGGCCTGAGGCAAAATCAACCCGTTCTCATGCCTGAGGGCTATGACATCAACGCACGAATTCGAATTTTTTTACTGTTAGATCAGGGCGTACTTGTCGGGACATCACGTGATGTACACACAGGGACCGCGTGTGTCACGCACACCAACGGTAAATTTTTTTTTGAATTTTTGCATTAGCCTTGCTTTCTTCCAACGGATAAAAGCCACGTAGCGCTTCTTGGGGTGTCCGATCCATTCTTTGTGCTCCAATCCAACGCATGCCATTTTTTTTTTCATAAAAATTGAAAAAAATTGTGGAAAAAAAACCAAAAAAATTTTAAAAAAAATTTCTATAAATACCTACCAATATTATTCACTTTCCACACCAAATCTTCATACAAATTCTTCTCCTTCCAATATTATTCTCTATCCACACCAAATTTTCTACTGCTAAATTTTATTTGTTTAAAAATACAAATGACCTCTTCCATCAAAATTGAAGGTTCGTGGACATCCATGGAAGATGTTTTGTTGTGTGAGTGTTAGGTCCAAGTTGGTCATTGCCCGATCACGGGCAATGAGATTAAGCTCGCTCATATGTGGAGAAAAATTCATAAGTTTGGCTCGTACGGAAATGGCCTTGGCTAGTAAGTGGAAAATTTTGTATAAGGAGTTTGGGAAATGGAGAGATGCATTAGCAAAAGTAAGGGACAACTTTCGAGGCGGCGAAAATCTTGGCAACGAGATAAATTTTTTGTAATTGCCGTTTTATTAAATTTAATGTCATTTTTTAAAATATATTTTCTTGCATTTCCAATTTGTGTGTTTTTTTTAATATTATAGATTATGCAGGCACAAATGTGGTTCGGTGCCATTGGCCAAGGCACAAAATCTTTCAACAATCACTAATGTTGGGAGGTTGTGAAGAATTGTTCGAGATTCAAAATTATTCCCATGAATTCGACTGTTATGTTGAATGAGACGCCGCTCCACGATTCACCGGCATCGGATTCGTCGTTGGATTCCCCAATGAATCATGGCTCACCAATTCAAAGGGAGTTGGGGCCTAGTAGGAGAAAGGCGACAAATGCCAAGCGAGGGAGCACTTCGAATAATGATTGTGCAAAAATTTTGAAGCAAATTTTTATCAACGACACATTGAGAATTGAGAAAGACATGAAAAGAGATGAGGCTGATAAGGTAAAAGATGAAGCATTTGCATGAGAAAAGGAGTATGCACACAAACAATACATGGACAAGAAAGATTAGGAAACCATGACCATGGATACAAGCCATATGTCCCCTGAAACAAAGTCATTTTGGAAGCAAGAACGAAGGGATGTTATAAGAAGAAGGCTTTTCTGTGATGATGGACCTAGCAACACAAATTGGTTAAATGATGAAAACCATTGGGTTGTATTGATAGAGTTGTCATTTCTTAATTAGTTGTATTGTTTGTCTTTTATTGGATAAAGAAAGCATTTAATAATATATCTATTTATTTAAAACATTGCATACATCAAAACAAAGCATAATTCCCACTACCATGGCAACTTGATCATCGTCTGCTTCCCACTCCCTTTCTTCTTCAGCACGTTTGCGCATTCTTTCTTCATTTTCTCACTTAGTCCTATCCAACGTCCTCCTCGTGTCAGACATTGAAAATAAAATGTGTTTTGTAAAATTTGAGAAATGAAAGGATAGAGAGGATATGGATGATTGTTGTGAGTGGAGGCTGTAGTTTTATATAGAGATTTAGAAAATAGAGATGACACATGGCGCATTTGTAGCAATTGAAAATCTTATCCGAAATCTAAGATGTGAATTTTATAATAAATATGGACACGTGGGAATCAAAAATCTTATTTGAAATCTGATATGTAAATTTTATAATAAATATGAACACGTGGCAATTAAAAATCTTATTTGAAAATTTTATCCGAAATATGATATGTGAATTTTATAATAAATATTGACACGCAGCAACCGAAAATCTTATCCAAATTAATCGTTTAAGTATAAAAAAAGAAATTTAATTTAAAGTGAACAATAAATGCCCTTTGACATGGCAATGAGTGAAAACCCAATTTCCCTTTTGCAAGGATAGTCACTATTCACATGAATAGTAACATCGTTTGTCTCCCCCTTGCCTTTTGCCATGGCAAGTGGCAACTCAGTAATTCAGTGGCATATCCTGTAAATATGAAAATCTTGTAGGGTCGTTTTCCCAACCCAGTCATCCTCAACCTCTAACTCCTCTCGCACCACCTTTTCTTTGCCTCCCAACGCAGATTGAATTCCCAAATTCACGGTCCTCACTCTTTTCTCTCAGACAACTTTATCTTTCTCTACAACCAAAATTAGGGTTTGTAATTCCCAATTAAATGCCCGTTTTTTCAATATATATTTTTTTTGACTCTGATGATATCCTTTTGAATTGGGGGTGGGGTTGTGGGTATTCCTTTTTGTTTCAATTCTAGGTTTTAGTTTTTCAATTTCAGCTAAAAATTCCCTTTTTCTATTTGGTTGTGGGGCTTTTCATTGTTCGTGAAATTTTTGGTGGCTTGGAGCTGTAAATGTACTATTAGAAATGTCAGAATCCAATCACCAGAACTCAATGTATGGCTCAGGAGGTGCCCCGCAGAGTAACCAAGTTGAGGAACAAGAAGACGACGTTGAAGAATCCATAGACAACCCTCACATACGCTTCGAAGATAGTAGCGCCATTCCTCCCAATCCACTGTACCTTACCGGCTCAGAATACCCTCCGGCGGCGGCCACAAACGGCGGCTCTGATCAGCTTACGCTGTCGTTTCAGGGCGAGGTTTATGTCTTCGACGAAGTTTCTCCTGATAAGGTAAAGTTCTTTCGCTTCTGGGTGGTGCTCAATTTGAGTGTAACTGTTTTTGGACTTTTGGTTCATTCTGTACTGGTGATTTCTGCTTTGTTTTCTTTGTTATAGTGGTGTTTAGTCTGATGGTTCTTGTTTTGTTCTTGGCTAGACCTTAAATTACTTGCTTTTCTTTGAGAAAATGGGTTTTGATTAGTTTGTGGGAATCATGCAGTTAAAGTAAGTTCTTTGAGTGGTTCAATGTTTGCTGAACATCATGATTGGGTTTTTTATTTATTGTTTATGCATGTGGGAAACCTGTCTTATGAATTAAAGTCTATAGGTGTTAATGAGAGGGGTTGTCTGACAGACTTGAGCATCTGTGGTTGTTTTTCACAGGTGCAGGCCGTACTACTACTTTTGGGCGGATATGAAATCCCTTCTGGCATTCCTTCGATGGGGCCGGTTCCTCTTAACCAGCAAGTGTGTACTTATATATATATATATTTATGTATAAATCATGCAAAAGTTTATTGGAATTAGTAGTCTTTCAGTTGGTGTTATTTTCGTTCACTTTGTTGCGATAATGACATCTCTTACAGGGTATGAATGACTTACCTGTAAAGCCAATTCAACCGCAAAGAGCTGCATCTTTAAGTCGGTTTCGTGAGAAAAGAAAAGAACGTTGTTTTGATAAGAAAATTCGTTACACTGTGCGAAAAGAAGTTGCACTCAGGTACTACAAGATTATCTACTTGTTTATTCATTTTCCTTGGCCTTTCAGTTGAAAGTTCTCTATCATTCTCTGACAAAGACTCTATGCCACTTTTGTAAATGCATATCCTGATTTATAATGTTGTTTAGCATCCTTTTCATGATTCCTTATTCAAATATACAGTTTCTGATAAGGCTGTTGTTTTTTTGTTTCTGAGACAAAGTATATTGGAGAATGTGAATTTATATAATTTGTAAATCAGATGATTAATCTTAGTTTAATTATGATATTGGTATCCCCATCATTAAGCATTACATATTATTATAAATATAGTAAGCTATTTTCCATAGCAGAATATATGCTGTACATATTGATGTATGCATGCCTCCTATTAAATTCGTTTGAATAAATGTTGTACATGTTAATACAACCAAAACTGGAAATTGCTATCAACTAAGGATAAAAAAAAAATCATTCTAAAAAACTTCATTATGTATACAGCCCTTGAATTTGCAAAGAAGATGAAAGATGCTGATTCCTAGAATTCGGAAGAAACCGAAGCCCAAAGTGAATTGCAATGGACCAAATAAGGAATAGTTTTTCTTTAAGGAGCTAGGTCTCAGAATAAATGCTGTGATACCATATTGAGAATAATGGGAAAAGAGATGCCTAAATTGTCACTCTAGATAGGGCCTAAACGGAGTACAACCCTACTCATAGTAGGATATGGTAACAGGCCTTTCTTAGAATGAAATGTAAAGGTATATCATTTAGAAAAGTCTTTCTCAGCACACTGAAACTCCTGAAAGACATAGATTTTTTTATAACAATAACCCTCCGATTGGATGAGGGAAAATAACTCAGAATTTAGCTAAAAGTCGGGAATTTAAGAGGAGAAATTGACAATTCCCTTGTTTGGCAACTTAAGTGCGGATTTTATTAAATGACGCGTGGAAAAAATCGTGGAAATTGGAGCATCAAATTCCCAAGTTTAATTCCCACCAAAATAGGCGTCTTTTAACAATTTCCATAGTGCCATTTACAAAATTCGATATACAAAAGTCCAAACACTGAAATCTTCAATTGCCAGAAATTGAAATGATGGAAATTTAAATTCCGTCATTTTAGAATTCTATGTAATTTTCAATTCCTTCATCCAAACGGAGGGTAATGGAAGATCACTTTTAACTCCTCAGCCTTTTCTTTTTCTTTTTCTTTTTCCTTTTCTTCCCACCTTGACTGTTTTGTTATTTCATAATCCTTTTCCTTCTGGCCATCTTTTAATATGTTGTGCGTACATATTTCAGAATGCAGCGTAAGAAGGGTCAGTTTACATCATCTAAGGCAAGTTCTGATGATGGGGGCCCTGCTTCATCTGGTGCAACACAGGGCTCTGGACAAGATGAGAGCATGCAGGAAACTTCGTGAGTCCATCTTCATGTATCGTTACTTATATTTAGGACCATTAGATTTTTGATAGGACATAGGATTGATGGCCGTTAGATTGATTCTTTAAAGTGATTATGCTTTATGTTGCACTCTACAATCATGTTGCATTGACGTTGAGCTGTTTATATACAGGTTTTGTACTCTAATTGTTTATTTGTTATTTCAAGAGAAATACTTATATTCTCTGCATTCTGAAAATTTATGCATAATGTCTTTTCAGGTGCACGCACTGTGGGATAAGCTCAAAATCAACTCCAATGATGCGTCGTGGGCCAGCAGGTCCAAGGACTCTATGCAATGCATGTGGGCTCAAGTGGGCTAACAAGGTTTGAGAGATTATAAGTAATTTAATTTATGCTTTAACTCCCTTTTGGGTATTGATGGATATCTAAAAGAATTGTTTGCATTTTCATAACTGTCTGTGTATGCACATGTATATATATATATATATATATATCTCATATAATATATACATATATATTTCCATGATCTCCGTTTCTGCATTCTTTTATTTTACTGCCCCTCCATATAACAAGTGTTTTGAGAGATTTTGAGGATTTAATTGTAAGCTTTTCAATTTTTCCTCAACCTAATATTTCACGTTTAAATGTACAATGGATCAGTGCATCGTAATGTATTTCAGTCATTTATGTCTAATCTACCACCTGCCTTGTTGAGGACCTTAACAGAGAATAACTCTTTTGTCTAAAAGTTCTTAATTGAACTAAGTAACCAGTTCTTATCCTATAGATCTTCTTCCACAGTTATGACTAGAACACTTCAAGTGCGATATTTTTATTTTTATTTTTCTTTGCTTACTCCTTGTTGTGGATGTATGAATACACATATAATACACACACACACACACACACACATGTGTATATAGGAGTCCTAGCACACATGAATGCAACATTCATGGTTTAACTGTTGGATGAAAATCCAAACGTTCAGTAGGATACACACAATTTTTTACCTACTCTGTCATTGTCATTGTTATTTTTATCGTGAATTTTCATTCCCTGGTTTAGAGCATGGTAGATGTCTTATTAGAGTACTTAACTAGTTAAAGTTGGAGCATCCAGCCCAAAACCAATTGGAGAGACACAGAATTGTATATATTGAGATGGAAGGCTTAGAATGACTGATGTGGGACTTTATGTTTTCAACATGCCCCTAACGTTTGGCCAGATTGAGCCAACACGTACTGAGGTGTAAGGCTTATAGTGCCCAATGCGGAATTTGAATTCTCAACATAAGGTTGTGTGTCTAAACACTTATACAGATCGATATAATTACCAGGTTGTTGCCCTGGGCGATGTGTGACTAGAGAAACTTTTTATATAGAATATGTCTGACAAGGTTTTTGAATCAGCAGATGTTTCTCAATCATAGTCTAAGACCATCCGATCTACTTTGCATCTCAGTTGTTTGTATCTGAGAAAACTGTACTTAAGAAGAACTTTATTAGAGAATATATATATATCTGTCAGGCAATCTAGCATGCTGTGTTGCTAGACATTTTATGTCTGAATGCGTGGCCCTTATTGACATTTTAGCAATAAACCAGGTTAGATATCTAGCAAAAGAAAATTACTAATATATATTGGAGTTAGCTTTGTTGGTGGTGGATACTAAAATTTTGTAGGAAGTGATTGCTGGTGATTCTTAGTCATCTCTTAATGTATGCTCAACTTTTTGCAGGGAGTTCTAACAGGTGGTCCTAAGGTTTCAAATATAGGTATGCAGGATCCTTCTGCAAAGGGAATTGAACAGGTAAACCACCTCAGGCACCCTGAAAAAAAAAATTAAAAATCTTGTGATTTTTCTTATTTCTGGCATTTTCCTCATGGGTTATTATCACAGGGTGATGGCGAAGCTAAAGACCCAGTTGCTATAACCATGGGTGCCAACATCGCCCCTTCCTCTAATGGTGACAACTCAGCCATGACTGTGGACAGGAATTTATGAAGTCCCTTGCAGCCTGGTTGATTGCCATTTGCTGTACTACAAAGGGATGTCAAATAGATTCAAGTACGTTATCGAGTGTACATATGCTTTAGGGACTTGGAGCTATAAACTAATATAGATTTGAAACCCTATTATTTTATGTGATTGTAGTCTGAGGACCAAATTTAGAACCTCATGTCATTGTAGCATTTGCATTCTATTATCCATGTTGAATATGGCTGCAATACTATTGCCAGTTCTTTCCTTGTCTACAATATAATCAAGAAAGGTTATGGTGATAAATGCAACCTGATTATTGTGAAATTCGTATCGCCAGACCAGAAAAGCAAGGATTAAAGCCTATTTTCAGAGGCATGGCCAGGTAAATTTGCAGTTATTTGGGCGCTTTTTAAATTTAATTTTAAATATAAAAGTGTGCCTTACAACGTACCAGGTGGAAAATTCAAAATTGAGTGACCAAGTTTGGCTAGTGAATCATCAGCTGCATAATTTGTTTGTCAAGGTCAACGGACGTGGTTTGTTGTGCTTCAGATTCTTCCACATTCTTCTACAGCTATGAATCAAAACTTGCATTTTTTATAAAAAAAATCTAGTGATTGTACCCTCTAGGTAATTGGGGTTTAGTGGAAAATAAGATGAGAAAACAGAGAATGATCAATTAAAGAAGGAAGTAACAATGCTGAGCTTAGTAGCGTGGGCTTGTAACCTGAATCGGTGTGGATAGCAAACAAAAGAAGGAAGTAACAATTTCAATTCTCTTCCGAAGTTTCACTAGTAAACAAAAATTGAAAAATAAATAGGCTGATGTCACCGATTTTTCTCATGAGCATATGAAAAATTATGAATTAGTAATTTCTTGAGATACAAGTTGCCATAATATATAGTGGTGCTATCCTAAGTCAATATCTGAGGGCCCTTGTGATCTCATTTATTTGACGTTTCAAGGGATACCAATAAACTTCAAACACTTCTTCTCAAATGCAAGTCATCTGCAATAGGAAATGAAACCAAGTAAACTTCTGCTTGCTCATTAAATCTGCAACAATTACTTGGCTCCATCAAAGCAAAAGGTTTATACACCTTGACTGCAGGGCAAGCAGCCTTGGAGAGGTACAAACGATGATTTCGATTCTATTTCCTTGTCGAAATGCTGCATATACAGTTTAGTTTGATTTTCTTTAGGCGAGAGTGGTAGGACAAGGATTCTTCCATTACCACCACATAACAGGAAAAAGAAAACTCACGCTAATATCTAGTTTGTGACAAAAATGAAAGATTAAATTATATCTCATTGAATTTCATGTGTTTGTTTATACGTACTGATATATTTTTATGATCAAGTTCACATTCCTTGCTTGTTTGAGAAGGGAGGAAAGAGATAGATCATTCTTGAATAACGAGAGTATCTTATTGGAGGATCTCATTGCTTCTTGTGATGAAAAATAAACACCCAGATGTATTTTCTTGGACCATGACTTTGTTCCCAAACTCTGCAACTTCTTACTCTCCAAAACCATTCGTCCTATGCAATCGCATGCCGATGAAGACGCTGTGAAAGGAACATTTGGGTACCTTGATTTTTTATTTATTTATTTTTAAATCAAAGATAAACTTCACTAGATAAACTTCAACAAGACATCGAAAGTAGAGGATACCTTGATCCTTCGTACAAGATTTCTGGTTACATTTCAGAAAAGAATGATGTCTAATAGCTTTGGCTTTTACTTATATTCTTGACGGGACGAAAAGCTTGGGATGAAAATTAGGCAGGAGAATATGCATAAATTATTTCGTACGTGAAATCTCATGCTTGTGATGGCTAGATTGAGACGATTGTGGATCCTAAAATATCCTTGAAGAGGTATAGGGCTAATGCTAAGGCACTATTTTGTACATGATGAGAGGAATGTGTAACAATGGCACTATTTGTACTAAAGATTGGGGTCTCTCTCTCATACAGTGCTAATGTTAAGGCTTTCTATACGAGAATACGTATGTATAGATACATATATATACACATGCATATATCAAAATCCTTGATGGCCAGTTGTGATAACTCATCCATCTTTTGTAGATATTCCGTCAAATAGAACAGTCTATTGTGATTATTCCCATAAAACTAATACCCAAAAACATAAAAAAATAATAAGGTACTCTTATGTTACTAGCTACCAGTTTGGTGGGGATTTATTTTTCATCAAAAGCTCATGTTATGCTTAGCAAGGAGAAATGTAGGATACCAATTGCAAATACTTCGTGAAGCCACATTGTCCATATTGCTACTACAAGAGCAAGTTCTATGCGAAGAAAGTGCTGAATGTTTTTTTTTTTCTGAAGTTCTCCCGGCCAATTCAAATCATATTGGCCGGTTTGATTTGGTTTTAATCAAGGAAAAAGTCAAATAGTTTTAAAATTGAACCTAATTATAATAATTTGATTTGGAGCTTTTGCAAAATGGCCTAAACCGGACTAGACCGTCTACTTAGGATCCGTCTGGTAACGTTTTCGGAGAATGTTTTCTGAGAATATTTTTAGAAAATGAAAACGAGAAAACAAATTTGCATTTTCAAGATTCGAGAATGCGTTTGGTACGCTAACTGGAAAACATTTTCCGAGAACGAAAACAGAGAAAACGTGTCCAGTACGAACATATGAAAATGACAAAAATAGTGAATATGCGTTCGTCAACAGTAAAATTGTGCAATGGTCAAATTAATTATCATTATCCAATACATGCATTAGCTAACTAAAAATGGTCTCATGTCCTCCAAGTAAATCATATTAAATCATAGATCAAATCTCTCATAGTCTCACAAATATCTGAAAAATATGCAATAAAAAATTTAAAATCATGTTGTTATATTTTTGCTTTTAATTCATTTTATTTTGTAGTTCTCTCATTGGATAATAACTAAATAAGGATGTTGAATTTGAAGTGTACTTCTATTAGTTATTGAACTTTGAAGTTTTATAGCATTTTGAATTTTAGGATAGTATGATACGCTAGAAATTGAAGATTTGTGTTGCAAATGAACTAACAAAGAGGAGATAATGCAAAAGAAAAAAGAATTGGGCTTATGTCCAAAGGGTTTAGGGATCGTCCAAACTGGCGGAACGAAACTGAACCAAACAGTTTTATTGAAATTGATTTGAAGAATAATTTTAGAGTAAAACCAATACAATCCGGACCGTGGCCGCTCCTACTGCTAAATTGAGTCGGATCTATAGAGTTAGAAAATAAATGTTTTTATTCTTTTTTCCATTTTTGCGTCATAGTGATTATGACTTTCCAAACACGTTTATCTAGGGGCTTAACGTTTAAATTCGGAGTCAAATCTTGGTCAAAAGGGGTTCAATCTATTTCTCTTTGGCAAAGCAATAAACTTTGCAGAAAAAAGAACTGAGCGAAGAAGAGTGATGCTTTAGAAATGGAGATGGTGAACGCTCAGCCACTGCAAGCGAGGGCTTACGAGGGGGAAGATCAACTGGTGCATATACCGGCAGAGTTGGAAGGGGACTATGGCGAAGGAGGTGGTGCTAAAGCGGCCATGAATGGAGGGGACCAAGCTCGGAGGAGCTCTGGAGTAACTATGAGTCGCTGCAATTCGGCTCTGCCTTCTCGGACCAGTGAGCTCACCATCGCCTTCGAGGGCGAGGTCCACGTTTTTCCCGCGGTTACTCCCGATAAGGTTGGCTTTCCGTGTTCTGCTAATTTCATTTTGAGTCCGTTTGGTTCGTTTCGCTCTGTTTGGTTCCCGGGAAACATGAGGAAAATCAAGGATTATAAATTGAAAAACAAAAGGAATCTCTCTCTGTTTTCTTGAATGTATATATTTGCTTGTAGAACTCTTTTGTCGAATAAATAACATACTAGCTAGCAACAATAGCTAATTAAAGGCAGACTTGTGAGGACTTCCCTTCTGGTGCAAAACTTAGTCTTGGATAGCAATAGAATTTTCCATAGCAGGTTAGACAAGTTTGAAATCCGTTGATGATTCAATAATTTTGGTCTCTTTTGAGTTCATTCTCAAATTATAGTTTAATAATAGTGTCCCAGTATCATAGAAATTAGTTGCCCGTCAGTTACGGGAAGTAAATGAGTAGATTTAAGCCCTTTCAGCAAGATCAGTCCACGTTATAGTTCTGGAAATTATCAGCAATTCCTTTCTTTCTTGTTTTCGTATGTACCTGTTGGAAGCATTAACAAAAGGCTGTTTCTTCTGTGCAAGTTACATTGCGCAATAAGGTGCTCCATTTAATCATTTAGATGTGATGATATGGTTCTTGTTTATTCTTTTCAATCGGAAAACTTGAGAATTCATTCCCAAGTTTAAGACCTGGGTGATACTATCCTGGCCAAACAGCTGGCAAAAGGAATGAGTTCAAAATTGTTGTTATGCCAGAAAGTCAATGGCTAAGTAATGATAGAGAATATTAGAGGCCTAACCAAAAGATATTTAAAAAAAAAAATTACTATACTATTTAATTATGTTTCAGACTGTAGTCTTTGACGTGGTCCCTGAGCAAGATACCATCTTTAGGGGACCTAAAAACAGTCGAAAATGGCGTTTCTGTCTTCTAATCACTATAGCATACATATCTGAATTACTCTAATAATTGGTTAAAGAAGATAAGTTCTTTCCAAAGACACACTGTTAATTGGATCTGTAAAAATACATTTGCCGTTGACTTGCATTTTTCTTTCTCACAAAAATGGGAAAGTTGCATAGTGATTGACTCGCTCTGCTTTTTGGCTATTCATATGTGAGTTGCACAGAGGAATGGTTTAAACATGGTGCAAGCTTTAGTGCCTATAATTCACCCTGTATAAATCTGCTGCTTGGTTTCTTTTGGGGTAATAATGCCTGATATTCTGGAATATTAATTACAGGTGCAAGCAGTGCTTTTGCTATTGGGAGGGCGTGATATATCCAGCAGTTTCCCTAGTTCTGAGTCTCTGCTAGAAAGCAATAGCGGGGTATTCCTGTATAAATCAACTTGCTCTTGTTTTCCCCCACACTGGGGTTAATATTTCTCTAATTGTTGATGCCTTTTCAAAATTACACTCTAGGGTATAGGTGACATCTCACGAAATTCAAAACTTTCACGAAGAACTGCATCTCTTGTTAGGTTCCGTGAAAAACGGAAAGAGAGATGCTTTGAAAAGAAAATTCGATACACTTGTCGAAAAGAGGTTGCTCAGAGGTAATGCAACCTGTCTTGATAACTTTCGTCATATTGCATGGTGTTGATTATTTCTCTGGATGTTATAGTGATTGCATGCAGCTCCTTGTTGAAATATTCTGGTGGTTTACTCAGAAATGGTTCTCCAAAACTATGGTTGGAACAATACAGCTGTGAACCCATGTTCTAGTATTTCATGACAAAAAATGGGTTTAGGAAGTAGTCTTTTTTCTTTTTATGCATTACACAACAATCAGTGATTTTCTTCCCCTGAGTGATAAAGCCTCTCAGAGATCTGGGTGAATGATTGAATCATAAAATACAGGCCTTTCCTCCTACTGGTCCTGTCTGCAACTCGTTTGGTTGAGAAATAAATGATATTATGTGTGAGGAAAAAAGAAGAAGAATTATATGAATTTTCTGCATGTGGAGCTATTTGGTTGTTCTTGTTTGTTGTGGAAGTGATTTAGCTTTAGTTTAGTAACCTGCAATTTTGAAATTAACAGAATTTGGTGATTGCCACTGTGTCGGTGCATTACCTGTTTAGGATGTGGGCTTAGCTCTTTTGGTGGCCTAGCTTGGTTCTACCAGTTCAAATTTCTGAACTTTATAGTTTCTAATTTGAAGATGCAGTTGATCATGAGATAATAGTACCCAACAGCTTATATGTGCACTGGCAGCTCGGTAGTGAAAAGGTTCACTTTGAAGCAACATTGTAGCTCTTCCAGCAGCAACATTGTAAATGTATCAGAATCATTATTTCTTTGCAAGAGAGTCTATCCCATGAAACATAATAATGACTACTCCTTCCAGCAGAAAATATTGACCTTCGAAATCAGAGAAAATATCATCTTTCACACAAACACACACCCGCAGATGTAAAATTATTTTTGTATTAACAAATCGTTCTTGGAGTGTTACCACTACCTTTATTGCCATATTAAGGTTGTATTTGGTCTTTTATCAATAAATATAATCCATGTATTAGTGCCACATCCACTGATATTTACAGCTTGGTTAACACTGATTGATGACCAAGGTGTGTGTGCATCAACTTGTATAAACTAAGAAAATGGGTAGATAGTTAGTAAAAAGGAAGTTAGACTTACACAAAAAGGATGGAAGTAGTTTATAAATGACACTTGTAAGGTGGTTTTAGGGGTGTGAAATTTTATGCAACTAAATTATTTAAACGTCTTTGAACCTTTTTTGGTATTTCCTTCCAAGTTTCAATGAGGTAATTATTGTCAAAATAGAAGTTTGAAAGCTACTTGAATTGCCGTTCCATAATGGTAATCAGAATAATGCAATAACTGGATGTGGTTGTGGTTCTTTCTCCGTTTCTCTCACTCGCACATACCCCAGACAAATGGGATTGGGAAATTGTTGGATTTTGTCCTACTTTATGATTATACAATTGTTTTTCTACCATAATTCACATATGCATGTGTTTGTTTTGTGTGCATTCCACGAATTTTTAACTTTTCAACATTTAACAACAAACATTGATTTATGCAATGTATAATGGAAACAAAAAGTTGAAGTTATCCTTGAATTCAGTACTATTTACTTATTTTTCTCTCAATACTATTACTTGTTTTGTAGGATGTATCGCAAGAATGGACAGTTTGCATCATTGAAGGACGATTCTAAAATTGCTTCTGGAAACTGCGATTCAAGTGATGGCACTTCTTGTCCAGAATCTGTGTGAGTTTGAATTCTGTTCTTCAGTTAGCATTTGAACTTTCAGTAGGATTATTATTAATTTATTCTTTCTTTCCTTTCCCACTTTGTTGTAAGGATCACTGATGTTTTATTGCTGGTTCTTAATACATGTTGATGCTGACATGCTGCTTCTTCCATTTCTGGTCTTCTGAAATTTTTATGTTTACGTAGATGTCAGCATTGTGGAATTAGTGAAAAGTCTACCCCAGCAATGCGTCGGGGGCCAGCTGGTCCAAGATCTCTTTGTAATGCTTGTGGTCTCATGTGGGCTAACAAGGTAGGTGGTGCCTGTTTTGGGTAGTAACCATCTATGATAAAATGCACGTATGCATGCCCTCAGTTGGTGCTCAAACTTGTTAAAACAATGATGCATTGGCAGTGATATAGCATGATCGAGTTCAAACTTTGCTCTCTAAGTTCTTGTCTGACATAAGCAATTTGACAACTTTATTTGTCCTCTTACTCATCATTCTGTTGATCTGAAGGGAACTTTGAGAGATCTTACAAAAGCAGGGAGGCCCATTCATTTTGACCAAGATGAGCTGGTATGTTGCCTCTACTGCTGGTCCAATTAGAAAATTATGTTGAAATTATATGCATGTGCATTGGTTTGGCTACCAGACAATTAAGATAATGGAAAGTCCATGGAAGCAGGTGTTTCTGACACCTGGACACATGACATGTGCGCCCAGCAGCAATGTTTTCATAGGAAAAGCGAGGGTGAGACATTTATGCCTTGTAAGGTGAGGCTTGAGGCTTGAGGGAGGCATTGGGGCGTAAGCCTTTCGGAACTCGAATTATTATGATTAAAAAAATATAAAAAGAGTTAATAAGAGTATTAATCGTTATTCAAGCTTGATAATCAATCCGAAAAGATATAACATTCAACTAGGGCTGTTGCCTTCTTTAACTTGACTGAAGAAAGGCTTGTGTCAGAGGCATTGGTTGTGAGTGTTAGAGCTGTCCAAAGAGAGGCATGGTTTAGGTTTTCTTTGTCTTTGTCTTTGCTTTCCTATTTTGGAGTTCTATCGGGTGGAATATCACTTAAAAGCTCCCAGGAAAACAGTGCCCCCGACTTGGGTTCTTAAAGTAGTGAATTTAACAGACAAAACGGCGCGGTTTTATCTCACAAATTTTAAAAATTAAAAAAAATTAAAAACAAGAACTAAGGTGTTAAGAGGGATGTGCCTTATCAGATATAGTGCATATAAAGCACATCTAGGGCATGAGGCTTCTGCCCTTCTTCAACGAGGCTTAGGCTTTCCTGACCTGCTGCTAAACACAGGGATTCCTGAGGTGTTTCATAGTAGCCTCACCTTCACTCGTGCCTCAGCCTCGCGTTTAAAACACTGCCCACACCCATGCCCAAGTCCATGTGACAGATTTTGAGCAAATAACAATCATCTGTATTTCTAATTGGGAGCAATACTAATTTAGGGTCATGTACTATCTTGGAAGATTAGTCAACGTAGTAATCATAAATCTGATTTTACTGATGGTCGCTTTTTGTGTCTACTCTTGTACATGCCAATTCTTTGTACCCTTTTTATTCTTGTAAAGTCACATTTTAATACTTTCTTCTGACATAATCTAATTTGGAGTATCGATTCTGATGGTGTCCATGTGATCTTAAGGAAACTGCAGCTGACTTTAAACCTTTGATGTTAAAACCAGAAAATGCGCATCTAGACCCAGATGTAGAGGTATGATTTCTTAGCATGGTTATTATGAATGTTAATTAGAACTAATTAGTCAGTTCTAAGTTTTCTGATATTTGAGATGCCAAATGTGAGTATTGATTTCAACATTTTGCATAGTTTCTTTGCCTATTGTTGTGCTCTTGAAGAATCTTCTAGAGGTCTTCTCGTCAAAAGGCGACAGAATTGAGAATTCTTGTACCTGCAAGAATGTGCAAATTTAGTTTATTTGTTTTTCGGCATGTGCAATTTAGCTTATTCTTTGAAGTTTGTTTGTGTGTTTTTTATTTTTCTTGTAAGTATATTAATTCTACTTGTCTGAATGTAAAAATATAATTTTATTTGCTTTTCACTGGGGCCAATTTAGCTTAATCTTTGTACATAACGTGAGGGTTTATTTCTTGTTCGAATAAATGGATTCTACTTTCTATTTGTGTTTGGTGGAAACTTATGCGATTGGTTCCACACAGAACATACTTGCTGCATATTCTAGATCCTTCTGCACAATGATATGTTGTGTTGTCGCAGAACTTGACAATACTTAGTATTTTTGTCCGGTCAGGGAATCCCAGAGGAGAGTAAGCCTATTGCATTGGATACTGAAAACCCTCCTCTGAGACTGGGTGACGAGGTAGCACTTCTTTCCATGTAACTAAACTAATTGTACATCAATTATAATATTTAATATTTGACACTGATATCTACTTGGTTTCCAATGTTTCCATTGTCCATCTTTAAATAAATGAACGAGAAGAAGAGTTCTTTAAGATTGATAACTACGATATTTTGATATCTGTATGTGGACCAATGGAGTTTTATTGCTTAGGTTTGAAGAGTGGGTCCCTTTGTGTGATATCCTATAAAATCATAAACAATAGTTCTTTCCAAGTTATTCCAAATTAAATTGTAATCAGTTTCAGTCATCTGATGTGCAGGATATGCTGGAAACAGCTGAAGCTGCTACTAATCACATATGCATCCAAATGGAAAATTCAACTGTTAACTTTGATGAGCAGGTACTATTTCAAGGTTCACCTAAACCAAGTAGTTGGAACTTGGCCCTGTATTCTTGAGCTAAGATTCTGTTCCATAGTTTTGGGAAGTTTTCGTTTCATGCCTTATATGTTGACAACCTCTGAATCACTCTGCTGTCAACATTACATGCTATGGTAATGTTCTGTTGCAAGATATTTGACACATTACATTATATTTAGGTGTTGGTGTTTATTTAATGGGTGAGTATTTGCACAAATAGACTATTAATTTATTAATCAATGCTGAACCGCACTAAAAATAAATTGGATCTGAGGAAGCATGTAATTGTACAGTACTTATAGTATCACATATGCATCCAAATGGAAAATTCAACTGTTAACTTTGATGAGCAGGTACTATTTCAAGGTTCACCTAAACCAAGTAGTTGGAACTTGGCCCTGTATTCTTGAGCTAAGATTCTGTTCCATAGTTTTGGGAAGTTTTCATTTCATGCCTTATATGTTGACAACCTCTGAATCACTCTGCTGTCAACATTACATGCTATGGTAATGTTCTGTTGCAAGATATTTGACACATTACATTATATGTAGGTGGTGGTGTTTATTTAATGGGTGAGTATTCGCACAAATAGACTAGTAATTTATTAATCAATGCCGAACCGCACTAAAAATAAATTGGATCTGAGGAAGCATGTAATTGTACAGTACTTATACTTGGGTAAACCAGCGTGTGAGGGGACATATACATCTTCCTAAAGCGAGCCTCATTTTATCAAGAGGTCTCCCGTATTTTCTTTTGTTCATAAATAATCTTGGCTGATGTAAATCAAAGCATAAGGTGTGTTGTAACTAGTAATTACTACCTAACGTACATCAGAATGTAATGTAGAGTTGTAATTATCCTACTCGGACTCAATTTGTCTTATTTACACATCACGACCTGCAGGAGAATCTGGATGAATTTTGCAATGCCTCGGGGACAGAATTTGAGATTCCTGCAAACTTTGATGAGCAGGTATTGATCTTTAGCAGCTTGACATCGCATGTGGCTGACTAGCCCTATGCTTCAGATGGGTTTAACCTTAAATGCTGTGCTACAAGTTTTATGAATACAAACCTACAGGTGGTTGATTTTTATGATTGCAACATCGAGACTCACTGGCCAGGAACTTGATATATACATGCTGACTACGGGACGCTTGAAGTGCGCATGGTTTCTTGTTGGCCAGAATGAAGGTGCAATGCTGGTGGCCCTCCGACTAACTTTGGATTTTCATGCCCTGGTTAATGTTTTCTAACACAAACCTTATACAGAAATCCCATGCGTATGTTACAACTAGCTAGATCATTTCGGAGCTCAGTGATATAATGTGAATAAGTTTCCGGTTTTGCTCTCTCCTTTCTACCCCTTTGCCCTTTGTGAATAACTGTAGTAGGATCGTGCCAGAAAATGTGATTGTCTGCCATTTACGTAGTAGCGAATTGACCCTTGTAATTTGACGTATAACTGAATATCTTACGACGAAAGCGAAGCATTATTCGTAATCCAAATGCATTTAAGAAGGTACGGAATTAAATTGCAGAAACAAGTTAATGTTCGGAAAACAAAAGCATTACTGGAAATAAATAAATAAATAAAGAGATCCTTTTGTATCAATATCGGCAAATGAAAAAAGAATCTCTTGAATTAGAAAACTGAAATCAAGGGGAAAAACAATACGCGGGCCAAAAAGCTCTGAAATCAGCTCTTTCAAACCAAGGCATTAGGTAGCTTAACAAATTAAGTAACTCTCATAGATGATTAAGAAGACTAATTGGTAGTCAAGAATCAAAGTCTAGACTTGCCTACTGGCCGGTACAAGAATGCTACTACATAATCGAAAACCAAAGGAATTGTTGAAGAAAGTGATTTGCAAAGAACCTGAAAGAAAATTATTTGCAGAAAGAATTGTATTTTTCCAATATGTAAAATATTATGCTTTAATATATTAGCTGTGGCTAGACTATAATGGGAAAAACTCTTCAATGTGAGTTCAATTTTCATGTTACCAAATCCCTTGTGCCCACCCTGTTTCCTCAGTTTTGTGACAGGTTGCACACCACTTAACAACATTTTAACTCATATCTTTTTTTTTCTTTTTCTTTTTTTTTTATAAACATTTTAACTCTTAACACTCTTCAGCCCATTTGTTTTTATTAAAATAATTTAAAAAATATTAAAATACGCGTTCTTGCCTCTTCATCTTCTACCTATCCTCTTCATTAAAAATATATATAAAGCAGAGATTTAGGGGTTGAGTCTGATGATACGCAAGGTAGAAGATGAAGAGGCAAGAATGTGTTTGTGTAAAACGTGTATTTTAATATATTTTTAATTATTTTAATAAAAATAAATAGGCTGAAGAGAGTTAACAGAGTTAAAAATTGTTGTTAAGTGGTGTGCCACATGTCACGAAACTGAGGAAAAACAAGGTGGTCACAGAGATTTGGTAACATGAAAATTGGACTCTAAATGTATGGTACAAACCTTTTTTTCAGCCTGAATTGTCTCCCAATAAATTTGAAGTTCAGAAATAAAAGTTTTATTTAAAAGATTTATAATTGGTAATTTTACAGGTTTAAAGCGTTAGCCAAATCCTCTCAATTCCTTTTTTCTAATGTTATGGAGTCTCTTAACCATTCTAGAAGCTCAAGTGGTTACCCCTCCACCTAAGGTCCTAGGAGCGATTCCCCCTCCCCAATATTTCTAGTATAAGGAAAAAACAGTCACTTAACCAATCTAATGAAAAAACAAGCACTTCCGAAGGACCAAAACATGCCCTCGTTGACCCACATAATTTCATTACCAAATGGCAACCCACATAATTTCATTACCAAGGTCAAAACAATCTCAAACGAAAAAAAAGAAAAAAAAAATGGAGATATATATGCATATCTGAGAAACCATCTGATTCTGACAAAAATTAGGTAAGAGAGGTATAAGCGGAGGCTCCCTGTTATTCTTGGGGCCTAGTAGAAAAAAAATACAATCAGCCTATACTCTGTATAAAAGGAGACAATAAATGCGCAAACGAAAAAGCAATGCCGGATACCCGATTTGCACAAATCAGTTGGAACAAAATACTAACTCCCCAACAATCAGACTACAGATGGTGGACTTCCAATCACCTCCAGAGTTGGGGCAGCGGAATCAAATGAATATAATGCTTTGACACTATTTTAAAAGACTCGCAGCTACTTGATTGGCTTATTAATCAACTGATGGATAGAGACCAGGCATGTACATGCGTCCGCTTCCATTAGAATCTGCATTAGCGTAAAATGGTGAGTGAAGCTCCCCAGAGTGAGATGACTTTCTGGGCTTTGGATTCTTAGGTGAAGCTGAGTAGGAATCATTTGAACTGCTTGTATTATACATCGATGACGTTGGTAATCCATGGATCTTTGGCAACCCCGTTGGATCAGCACCCAAACTGTAACCCTTTTCCACTGTTTCCGCTTCCAAAGGCAGTTCATCCAATGTCTACCAACAAAGAAAACAGTAATCACAAGTATTAAACTGAGGATTTCCCACTGCATAACGAAAGCAGTATTCTTTTTCTTTTAAAAAGAAGAGACATATAAAGAGTTCAAAATTGTACAATCCCAGATCTAAAAACCAGAAATGAAACATATCAAACTCCAGCCACAACACAAGCCAAACTGACCAGCCATCTATCAAACCACGACCTTCCAATTGAGTAAAACAGCAGAAAAAGCAGTAATTGTAAATAGTGTAAGTTTAGAGCCTACAGATACAGCGACTACACATTTTCATATATATTTTTTTTTTAATTACAAGTGTCAAATAAACTCAGCTACTTATCGATTATAACACTGCAGAAGTATAAATCTAAAATCAAATACTGTTTTGACCATATTTAAGTTTCATTCACCACATGAATTGGGATAATCTGTGCATGCCAATTACCTGTCTATAAACTAAGAAAGCCCTTAAAACTCTGAACCCTAAGAATTTAGAAAAAAACCTACCCGGAAAGCCTGTTGCAGAACTCGGAGGGTTTCCCGGGTGCGCTTTCTCTTCATTGCCACTTCATCAGGTTCCTGCAGCATCTCTTCAAACAGGTTCTCTCTGTTTGGGATCATAAAAACCAAACAATAGCACAATCAACAGTCGATACAGGAAAACTAGTAAATAAGAACAAATGTACACAGCGACGTGTAAAATTGAAAACTGACAAGACAATTTTTTGTTACCTGTAAAGCTTTTTAATGAAGACGTTGTGCAGCTCACGCTTTGTATGATTTACCTGAGTACATGTTGATGACAGACAAATAGTTACTAAAGCCTATGAAATGCTTAGAGCTCATTTTAGCAACAACATATCTATCACACAACATAATAATGAGTATAACAATATCAACCTTGGGAAGATATTACATAAAATTGTTACCTAAAAGAAAGCATAAACTAAATATACTTTCATACAATAAGAATGATAGAAGAATATGCAAGGACCACGTGACAACTAATGATGCTCTAATTTTCTTATTTTTATAAGGCTCCATATGAACTTTGTGGGTATGACAGAGGAAGCTTTCAGATTTAAGAGGTTGTGAGAGAATAGTTGGAAGTTTCATCATTGTACAAATTTAGTATTCCACCTTAAATAGAAAACCATTTCTGCCATTTGTACCTCAGAGTTCCTAGTTTAACACAATACTTTGGAATCATAATGTCCTAAAAATATGACAAAGAACACACTGGAAGAAAAGTAACAAGGAAAAGAAAGGAAGCAACGTGCGAAAATAAACAGAAATAACTGGGTGCATCCAGAAAGGTCAATATTACCAGGAAGTGCATTATTGCTTTTGGAACAGAATCCTCTATGTTCTTCCTAACAATGTCATAGTATGATCTTAATAGGAGTTTTGTGACTGCAACTTCAATTGTCTCCTGCTCTGAGTGGTTCTCTGTGGGCCGCAAGACAGTTGGGGGCTAAAAGGAAATTGTACACAAGTCAGGGTGAAACCAGAGAGAAATAATCAAAGAAAGTAGAATTATCAGATAAAATCCCATAGCCGAAAAGTCAATAATGAAAACTAGAAAATACCTCTCTTAAATGGATCATAGAGACAGCTTGTTCGACGTTGTGAATAGGTTCATTATATGACTTGTTTATTAAATTCTCTTTAGCAGGTGTGCGGTTATCACTCCCACCAAAAATTGATGAAATCCCCCAACTTGAACCAGTTGCGCCTCCTAATCAATTGCAAAAGGTGACAAAGTAAAATACATTGAATTTCAACACTCCTTGCAAGTTTTCTACATGAAATCATGCATTTATACATACAAAATGCACATGCACAAGAACCTATCATCCCACCAGGACAAAATACATACCATATTGATACTGTTGAACTCATTTTTTTATTGTCAATATGTCAGTATACATCACCAAATTTTGAAAACGAAAGTTTTTTTTACCTAATATATTCCCAGAAGATGCAACTTTTTCACTGTCTACCACAGGTCGGACACCCTGTCAATCAACCAAACAAAACCATTGATACAATTAGACTAGCTTAAACAGTGACCAGCGTTTTCAATGGAGAAGGCACAATGTGAGGCATTTGGCTCTTGCAAGGCGAGGTGGAATCCTCAAGATGTCAAGGCATTATCCTTTTAGGACTTGGAATTATAATAATTCACAACATATAAAATATAAAATATAAACGTGTAAATATTAATCAATAGTGTAAAATCCCCCTCCATGTAATTTTATGACACTCCCAAATGTATTGTCAATAAAAGTTGTGAGAACTCTAGTTTTATAGTAAGTATTTTAATATTTGGAGGCTTACATAACAAAATAAATCTATTAATATTAGTAGTATTTCTCTATTTAGTGGACTTGATATTTGTTTTATTTTTTTGGTCAAACTCAAGATAAGTTTTATTTAAAATATGTTCTAACTCTAGAGCATATGTTGCATTACCTTACGGTAAAGGTATACTAAAGTGGAAAAGGCCAGAACACTTCTCAGAGTCCAAAGGCAAAGTCCAAGCCAAGACCAGGGAAAAAAAAAAGTCTGAAGCTAAAGCTTACTGGGTTGCCAACAAAACATGCACAAGCCACACAGTACACTAGAGTTGCCGATGTCAATCTTAAAGCGGCCAGAATTTTCATAGAGGTACTGGTTTTCTGAAATACCTTCAAGATAGTGGTGTTTTATGAGTTAGAGATGTGAACTGCTGTTTTTCAGTTTAGAGTTCAATCTCAGGGAGAGAGACATAACTGGGTTTTTTTAAACTTTTCTTGTATCTGTTTAAAAGCCCAGCACCGCAAAAACCTTGTTTGTTATGGGTAAACCTAAAGGAAAGATGTGTTAGCTTCGCTAAAAAGGCTTAGAAATTTCAGGAGTTGCGCTTTTCAGACACATGTTGATTGCACCCCGCCTTGGATAGAGCCTTAATGCGCGCCCGGCTAACAT